CCTAGATACAAACAAAGATTCTCAAAATCTTTTAAATTAAAAAAAAAAATAAATAAAATGCATGCGTCACCAGGGTGCTTTTATTTCCTTGTTAATAATAAAAAGACACCACAGGATCCAAGATTCTTGTAAATTCTTTCAAAAACTCGATCCATGCGCCTCAAGATCTTTCCAAATTCTTTCAAAAATAAAACCAATAGAATCCAGAGAATGCATTAATTTCCTTATTAAAAAGATAATAGACGTCCTAACATTTTTTCAAACTTTTTCAAAACCCATGTATAAAGACTCTCAAGATCTTTTCAAATTCTTTCATAAATAAACCGAAGAGAATCCTTAGGACGCTTTCCTACATTTCCTTATGAAAAAGACACTAGGCGCCTCAAGGTTCTTTCAAAATATGTTAAATTATGGTGCAAGGATTCTCAAGGTTCTTTCTAACTCTTTCGTAACATAAATACAAACAAAAACTCTCAAGATCTTTTCAAATTTTTTCAAAATTAAAACGCAGGCGTCATGCTCATGAGGATGCTTTTATTCCCTTGTTAATAATAAAAAGATACTAAGGGACCCAAGATTCTTGTAAATTCTTTCAAAAACTCTATCCATCCACCCCAGGATCTTTTCAAATTCTTTAAAAAATGAAACCAAAACAAAGATACTAGGCGTCCTAAGATTCTTTCAAACCCTTCCAAAAACCAGATCCAGGGTCTTTCAAGGTTCATTCAAACTTTTTTCAAAACCCCTACACAAGGACTCTCAAGATCTTTTCAAAGTTTTTCAAAAATACAACGCAATGGTCTAGAGGATGGTTTCATTTCCCACTTGAAAAGACAATAGGCGCTCCAAGATTCTTCCATACTCTTTCAAAACTAAGATATAAAGATCACCAAAATTCTTTCAAAATTTTTCAAAACCCATATACAAGGACTCTCAAGATCTTTTCAGATTCTTTCAAAAATAAACCAGAGGCATAACGAAGATACTTTGATTTCCTTGTTAATAGTAAAAAGACACTAGATGACCCAAGATTCTTGCAAATTCTTTCAAAAACTCGATCCATCTTACACCTCTAAGATTTTTTCAAATTCTTTCAAAAATAAAACCAATGGAATCCAGAGGATGCTTTCATGTCCTTGTTAAAAAGTTACTAGACGTCCTAAGATTCTTTCAAACTTTTTCAAGACCCATGTACAAAGTCTCTCAAGATCTTTTCAAATTCTTTCATAAATAAAACGAAGAGAATCCCGAGGACGCTTTCCTGCATTTCCTTATGAAAAAGGCACTAGGCGCCTCAAGGTTCTTTCAAAATCTGTTAAATTATGATACAAGGATTCTCAAAGTTCTTTCAAACTCTTTCGTAACCTAGATGCAAACAAAGACTCAAGATCTTTCCAAATTCTCTCAAAATTAAAACTCAGGCGTCATGATGATGCTTTTATTTTCTTGTTAATAATATAAAGACACTAGGGGACCCAAGATTCTTGTAAATTCTTTCAAAAACTCTATCCATCTACCCCAAGATCTTTTCAAATTCTTTCAAAAATAAAACCAATGGGATCCAGAAGATGCATTAATTTTCCCAATTATAAAGATATTAGGCGTCCTAAGATTCTTTCAAACTTTTCAAAAAACCAGATCCAGGGTCCTTCAAGGTTCTTTCAAACTTTTTTCAAAACCCCTACACAATACTCTTAAGATCTTTTCAAAGTCTTTCAAAAATAAAATACAATGGTCCAGATGATTGTTTCATTTCCCACTTGAAAAGACAATAGGCGCTCCAAGATTCTTTCAAACTCTTTCAAAACTAAGATACAAAGATGACCAAGTTCTTTCAAAATTTTTCAAAACCCATATACAAGGACTTTCAAGATCTCGGATTCTTTCAAAACTAACCACAGGCATAACGAAGATACTTTTATTTCCTTGTTAATAGTAAAAAGACACTAGATGATTCAAGATTCTTATAAATTCTTTCAAAAATTCGATCCATCTTACACCTCTAAGATCTTTTCAAATTCTTTCAAAAATAAAACCAATGGAATCCAGAGGATGCTTTCATGTCCTTGTTAAAAAGATACTAGACGTCCTAAGATTCTTTCAAACTTTTTCAAAACGCATGTACAAAGTCTCTCAAGATCTTTTCAAATTCTTTCATAAATAAAACGAAAAGAATCCCGGGGACGCTTTCCTGCATTTCCTTATGAAAAAGGCACTAGGCGCCTCAAGGTTCTTTCAAAATCTGTTAAATTATGATACAAGGATTCTCAAAGTTCTTTCAAACTCTTTCGTAACCTAGATGCAAACAAAGACTCAAGATCTTTCCAAATTCTCTCAAAATTAAAACTCAGGCGTCATGATGATGCTTTTATTTTCTTGTTAATAATAAAAAGACACTAGGGAACCCAAGATTCTTGTAAATTCTTTCAAAAACTCTATCCATCTACCCCAAGATCTTTTCAAATTCTTTCAAAAATAAAACCAATGGGATCCAGAAGATGCATTAATTTTCCCAATTATAAAGATACTAGGCGTCCTAACATTCTTTCAAACTTTTCAAAAAACCAGATCCAGGGTCCTTCAAGGTTCTTTCAAACTTTTTTCAAAACCCCTACACAATACTCTTAAGATCTTTTCAAAGTCTTTCAAAAATAAAATACAATGGTCCAGAGGATTGTTTCATTTCCCACTTGAAAAGACAATAGGCGCTCCAAGATTCTTTCAAACTCTTTCAAAACTAAGATACAAAGATGACCAAGTTCTTTCAAAATTTTTCAAAACCCATATACAAGGACTTTCAAGATCTTCTCAGATTCTTTCAAAAATTAACCACAGGCATAACGAAGATACTTTTATTTCCTTGTTAATGGTAAACAGACACTAGATGACCCAAGATTCTTATAAATCCTTTCAAAAACTCGATCCATCTTACACCCCTAAGATCGTTTCAAATTCTTTCAAAAATAAACCAATGGAATTCATAGGATGCTTTCATTTCCTTGTTAATATTAAGAAGACAATTGATGACCCAAGATTCTTGTAAATTCTTTCAAAAACTAAATTCATACACCCCCAAAATCTTATTAAAAAGATACTAGGCGTTCCAAGATTCTTTCAAATTCTTTCCTGACCTTAAGATCGTTTCAAAATCTTTCATAAATAAAACGAAGTGAATCCAGAGGATGCTTGTATGTCTAAATTAAAAATACACAAGGCGTTCCAAGATTCTTTCAAATCTGTAAAATTCAGGTACAAGGACTTCTAAGGTTCTTTCAAACTCTTTCATAACCCACATGCAAACAAAGACTCAAGATCATTTCAAATTCTTTCAAAAATAAAACGCAGACATCATGAGGATGCTTTTATTTCCTCGTTAATAATACAAAGATACTAGATGACCCAAGATTCTTGTAAATTCTTTCAAAAAGTAGATCCATCCACCCCAAGATCGTTTCAAATTCTTTAAAAAATAAAACCAATGGAATCCAGAGGATGCATTAATTTTCTTATTAGAAAGATACCGGGCGTCCTAAGATTCTTTCAAACTCTTCCAAAAACCAGATACAGGTTCTTTCAAGGTTCCTTCACACCTTTTCAAAACCCATATACAAAGACTCCCAAGATCTTTTCAAATTCTTTCAAAAATAAAATATATTGGTCTCGAGAATGCTTTTATTTCCCAATTAAAAAGACAATAGGTGCTCCAAGATCCTTTCAAACTCTTTCAAAAATAAGATGCAAGGATCGCCAAGGTTCTTTCAAAATTTTTCAAAACCCAAATACTTACAAACTCAAGATCTTTTCAAATTCTTCCAAAAATAAAGCACAGAGACCCCGAAGATGCTGTTATTTCGTCGTTAAAAAAACACACGGCGCCCCAAAATTCTTTTAAACTCTTTCAAACTCTTTCAAAAACCGAATATCCTCTGGGATCTCAAATTTTTCAAAAACAAAACACGCACCAAAAAATGCTTTCAAACTCTTTCAACGACAAAACAACAGAGGGTTCGATATTTTAGGTCTAACCTGAAAAATAGGAACAGATTAATAGACCACACGTAAAAAAAGTGTTAGAAGTGTTAACTAATTATAAATAAGTTATTTTGTTTATGAAAATTTTTTATTTTCGTTCTTGGGACAGAATGAGCATTTTTCCATGGGAAAAATTGATTTTTTGAATTATAATTTTTATTTATCAAATAATCAATCTTAATTTAGTTCTGCACAATATGCAACTATTTCTGTGCCTGGTTTTAGAAAATATTTCTAATAAACGATATTATTATTGTTATTAATGTTATTATTATCGGGATACATAACTTTAAGGATCTTTTTTTTTTAATCAGTCGTAACTAAATAAATATACTTAGAAGATTTTTTTTTTTGGTAAATCTTAAGAAAAATCTAAAAAATTAAAACATGGTACAAGTTTGCTCAAACTCTATATTTTCTAGAAACTCATTTTTTTGGTTCAATTTCTAAAATACCAAGGACCACCAGTATCCAGTCGACCACGGCGACCCACAGCCACCTTTTCGCGTCCCTTTTTTTGTCACCCACATCCCACACGAACAATAAATTAGGAGCAACAATTTCTGCCTTCAAATAACCTTTTAAATGAGAATTTAAACAGTCTTTACTCCGACTTTCCACATTTACCTTTTAACAAAACCAAAATTCCCTCAAAAGATTTATCTGTACAACTTTTTATATTTTTTTGTATTTTCAGTGTTCGAGCCAACCCGGCGACCCACAAGCATGCGTTCTCGTCCCCCGACTTCACCTCCCAACCCGAATTTCCGGAAGCTCACCGCCCAAATTCCTCAGGAAGACGGCTTTCGCTTCCATGCTCCCTGCACTCGCGCCTCGCCGGCGTCCCACAGGCACCTATTCGCGCCCCTCTTTTCTCCCGCCTTCTCGCTTTCCGGTCCCCGGAGCCAACAACCTTAGTTCCCTCCTCGTCCGTCGCGGCGCTCTTTTCGCACGACTCCGCAGGAATCGCTTCGTGCGATCGCGGCCCAGTCGGCGAGTCGCTCGAGAGCAGTGAACTCACCCATTCCTGCCCCAACCTCGCAATAATGCCTCTGTAATCAGCAACAATTAAATAACGCTGATGATTCTTCTCCGGTCGTGGGTTGTACGCTTGATCGCATATCGAAATCACCAGTGATCCGGTCAGTGAAAGTGTGTTTTTTGTGTCCCCTGTGACTTGTTCTTCGGCAGAGTGTAAGTTTCGCAAACTAGAGCATGCTTATCGATAAGTCCACACACCTTAGGCCTCCAAGGCCGTGTCAAAACGCAAAAGTGCATTGTCGCTACGCCTCCGACTCGAAAAGTAATTAGTTTTGCGAAATCGCGGGGAAGGGACGGCTGGAATTGGCTTGTTGGGGGGTTCTGGGTGCTCATGGGAGGTCATGGTGCACCGTTGCCAAAAAACATATAGTTAGAAAAATGGGCTTGGTGGCGATTTTTGACTAGGGATGGGTTTGGGGGGTGGTTGGCGATACAAGTTTAAGTTTTTCCGGCTAGAGAAACTCCGGTTGGTGTACGGGGGGCTACAACTCTCAAGTACGTACATCTCCGGTTGCATAAACACCGGAATCGCTCCGGTAAATAGCCCGAATTTGCCTAATTGTTTGAAGACGTGCAAACTCTGTTATATGAGAATCCAGTGCCGTTTCGAAACCACCGTTTTTAATTAATTTTTCCATGGGTACGGGACCCATTGTGTTTTATCCGGCGATCTGCGTGGGTTTTTATCATTCGTGTCGAAACGAGAATTATGTAAATGGAGTGGCGTTATTAAGTTTTACTTTTTCGGTTGCAATCTTTTAATTGCCGCTTTAATGCATCAAGGTCGAGATTTTGCAGTGGCGTGGGCTAGACACGATTTAATGGTTTGTTTTTGGCAATAGGAAATTCTCCTTGGGTGGGATTCGGGTCCATTCTGGCCCTTGCAATGTTGTGGCGAATTTCTGCGTATAGCCGTGTTTTTACCGCAGCAGGAAATTCCATCTAGGACGGGTGTTTAACAACATTCCGACAGATTTCCTGCGAACGTTTTGTCCTTCTCGGGAGCTGGATTCAATTTTAGAGTGGGTAAAACGGAAGAAAAGTTTTGCGTTGCTGATATCTGGGTTAGGTTGCTACATTTTCTTGATTTGAGATGGGTTTCGACATTTTCCACAAAAAATGAAGTGGTGATAAATATTTTGGTTACGCAGCGTTCGGAGAAAAAGTCGTCAGATGGTAATTCAACATACGTAAAATTGTGTTAATTTATGCGGGTTTCTGAGGATTGTGAGCAGAAAATTTTAACGGACCTGGGTTGTGCGGCAGAATTTTTATGTAATTATTGTTTAGAGGTTCCGTATTAAAATTTGTTGTGTCATGGTTTTTATAACCAATTAGTTACCATTTTGTTAATTAATTTTTAATTTATTTAATTCAGATGTTATAAAAATGAAAATGTGAGGATATCTAGAATATATCTTCATAAATTGTTTGTTTGGATAAATTAGGAACTTCGTTGTCAATTTTGTCTTTTTGAAAAGTCTAAACTGGTCGAGTATCAAATTTATCACTTTAGAAATAGATTAATTCCGAATCGTATCTAAGCATAGATTATTAAATATTTGATTTTTTGACGTATGTGGAAATTAAGATATACTGAAATACTGTTCAGCATACAGGGTGTTTCATCTCAACAAATCTGTCAAAATTATGTCAAAACTACGACAACTTTTATAAAATGAGTCCAGCTAAAAGTACTTTGAAAGAAAATCTGTTCTGAGCTAATTTTGAAATATCATTTTTTTTTACAGTGTATAGCTACAAACGAGAAAAAACAAAAAGAGAAAACTGTATTAAAATAGAAGACTTAAAACCAGAATTCTGAAATTCGAACCAGAATTTGAAACTGTAAACGTTGAAAAGAATAAAAAAAAACAAAATAGTAGTATGGGACGAAACATTTTTGGAAAAATAAATAGGCTGTGATAAATTTTGATAACTTTAAGTTTATTTTTTACTGTTTTGCCTCTTTCTATTTATATACTTTCCAATAACGTTGATGGTTTTAAGTTAGAACAAGTGACGTCACAGCGACAACCGACCGATTCGGGATGTGAAAAAAATCATATGCTATTTGTATCAGGTTTGCGTAAAAATATATCCAATGAAGTTTTTTTGTTCTGTCTACATATTTGTTTGTAAACCAGAACATTTAATTTTTGTAGACATATATCATGGATCTGAAAAATCGAGAAATGGGAACATCAAAAAACGGAAAAATCTAAAATTTAAAAATTTGAAATATTGAAAAATCCCAAACTGCAATGGTGAAAAATTGATAAAGCGATAAATCGAAAACCGAAAAATGTAGAAAATCGCAAAATTGGGAAATCGGGAAATGGGAATATCGAAAAATCGAATAGTCAAAAAGTTAAAAAACCGAAATCGAAAACTTTTAAACTGAAGAATCGAAATTAACCTATTGGAAAATTGAGAAATAGAAATATCGGGATATTGACTAATTCAAAAATCTAAATGACACGAAAGCGAAATTGGGAAATCGAAATTTCGAAAAATCGAGCCCAAAGCAGATAAATTCAAATTTGAAAAATTTTAAATCTAAAAAATCGATGCATGGAAAAATTGAAAAACTGAAAAACGGAAAATTGAACAATAGAGTTGAAATCTCGATAAATCAAGAAATAGAAAAATTGAAAATTGGAAAAACCGACAAATTGATCAAGATCTGAATAATAAAAAATCGGGAAATCGAAACATCAAAAAATTACAAAACCTAAAATCGAAAACTTTCAAATTTAAAAATTTGAAAACTTTAAGTCGAAAATCTAACATTTAAAAAACCCAAAAATTTAAACATCCCAAAATTGAAATATCGAAAAACTGAAAAATCGAAAATCAAAAAGGCGAGAAGTCGAAAAGTTGTTTTTGTAATTTGAGAAAGCAAAAAATCGAAAATTTAGGAACACCAAAAATTGAAAAATTTAAGAATCGAAAAATTGGAAAATCGTAAAACTGAATATCAGAAAATGGGGAAATCTACAAAAACCGCGGAATCGAAAATTTGCGAAATCGAGAAATCGGGAAATGGGAATATCAAAAAATCTATAAATCGAGTAATCGAAAAATTAAGAAACAGAAATCGACAACTCGAAAATAGATTTATCGAGAAATCAAAAAATTTAAAAATCGAAAATTTAACAACCCCAAAAATTAAAAAAATATTGGAAAGTTTTGAAATTGAAAAAAAATTGAGAAATAGAAATATCGAAAAATTGAGAAATCGAAATAACCTAACGCAGAAAAATTTAAATTTGAAAAACAGTAAAATCTAAAAAATCGATACATGGAAAAATTGAAAAACTGAAAAATCGGGAAATTGAACAATAGAGTTGAAATCTCGATAAATCGAGAAATAGAAAATTGCAAAAATCGAAACATTGAGAATCCGCAAATCTAAGTCGAAAAATCGAAAGATCGAGAAATCGAAACATCTAAAACTCAAAATTCGAAAACTTGAAAACAGAAAAAACGAAGGTTCGAAAAATTAAAAAATCGAGAAATCGAAACATCAAAAAATTGCAAAACCTAAAATCGAAAACTTTAAAATTTAAAAATTTGAAAAATTGATAAACACAAAAGTCGAAGAACATAAAAATCGAGAAATCGAAACATCAAAAAATTTAAAATTTAAAAGTCGAAAATCTAACATTTAAAAAACCGAAAAATTAAAACATCCCAAAATTGAAATATCGAAAAATTGAAAAATCGAAAATCAAAAAGTCAAGAAGTCGAAAAGTTATTTTTGTAATTTGAGAAACGTTAAAATCGAAAATTTAGGAACACAAAAAATTGAAAAATTTAAGAATCGAAAAATTGGAAAATCGTAAAACTGAAATATCAGAAAATGGGTAAATCTAAAAAAAAATCGAGAAATCGAAAATTTGCGAAATCGAGACGTCGAGAAATCGGGAAATGGTAATATCAAAAAATCTATAAATCGAGTAATTAAGAAACAGAAATCGACAAATCGAAAAATAGATTTATCGAGAAATCAAAAAATTCAAAAATCGAAAATTTAACAACCCCAAAAATTAAAAAATATTGGAAAGTTTTGAAATTGAAAAAAATTGAGAAATAGAAATATGGAAAAATAAGCTAACGCAGAAAAATTTAATTTTGAAAAACTGTAAAATTTTAAATCTAAAAAATTGATACATGGAAAAATTGAAAAACTGAAAAATCTGGAAATAAACAATAGAGTTGAAATCTCGATAAATCGAGAAATAGAAAATTGCAAAAATCGAAACATTGAGAATCCGTAAGTCTAAGTCGAAAAATCAAAAGATCGAGAAATCGAAACATCTAAAACTTAAAATTCGAAAACTTGAAAACAGAAAAAACGAAGATCTGAAAAATTAAAAAATCGAGAAATCGAAACATCAAAAAATTGCAAAACCTAAAATCGAAAACTCTAAAATTTAAAAATTTGAAAAATTGATAAACAGAAAAATTAATCCCAAAATTGTAGTCTCGAAAAACCTGAAAAACTAAAAATTGAAGAATTGAAACAAGAGAATGTGTAGGAACTCGAGGGAGTCTGAGAGAATATGATATAAATTGGATAATTCGGAAAAAATCTGAGAGATTTGGAAAGAATTTAGGAGATTTGGGAAGAAACCCAAGGAATTTGAAGAAATTTGAGAGAATCTGAGGAAACATATGAGAATCTTTGGGTAATCTGAGATAATCTGAGCGGAAAAATGTAGAAAAATTTAAAAGAATGGAAAAATCTGGAAAAATCTGGAAAAATCTGTAAGAATTCTACAGAATCGGAGACAATTTGAGATAATCTGAACGAATTTGAAAGAATTTGCTAAAATCTGAGACAATCTAAGAGAATGTCAGAGAAGATTCCGGAAGAATCCGACGGAATCTGATGAAATTTTGGAGAATCTGAGGAAACCTGTGAGAATCTGAGAAACCCTGAGAGATTTGGAAAGAATTTAAGAGATTTGGGAGGAAACCAAAGGAATTTGAGAGAACCTGAGGAAACCTGTGAGAATCCTTGGAGAATCTGAGACAATCTGAGAGTATCTCGAAGAATCTTAAAAAATCTAGAAAAATTCAAAAGAATGGAAAAATCTGGAAGAATCTGAGACAGTCTAAAAGAATCTGTGAGATTCTGAGAGATT